TTCTTCTTTCTCTAAGCATATTAGCAGAATTCATCAGATCCTGGAGTCCAGTCGGATCAGATTATTGTAAAGTCAAACATGAATTATTGAAATGGTTTATATGAGTCTTACTCTCTCAGAGTATATTAGAGCCCTGCAGGCACAAGCTGCTCCTCGCAGCCAGCACCGCTCCGTCACCACATTTCTTCTCACATCTCACCCCACTAACAGCCCACCCTCCCCTGGCCTGGGTCTGCAGAGCGTGTGTGGGGTGGACCTGCTCATCAGATGGTACGATCCTGCTTTAAGCTCCACTCAGGCAGCACAAGAGCTCATTCACGGGCTTTGGCAGAGGACAGAACGCTCAGGCAAGAAAAACCACAGAAAAAGAGGCATTTAAATCAAATCTGCATGTTTTTACTCCTCTTCAACTGATGGAGGAGGAGGCTCTGCAGGAAGTCACCTCACACAAGCAGACGGAATTAAACTAACAAAGTGACATCAAATCTACACAAGTTTTATTAAAATATTTACTACAAACTAAATCATCTGTGAATCTGTCAGGTTTTAAATTCTGTTAATTTATTATTTGTGATCTTTATGGCTCATTTTAATTGTGGATCCTTTAGGGTAAATATGTCAGAAACCTTCAGATTATCAGACAGAAAAACAGCAWAAAAACCTGGAGGCTGTTAGCTCGGCGCTAACTGAGCGTCGCTACAAGAACCAAGAGCTGATTGGTTTCCATGGATCAAAACAAGCATGTGAATCAGCTSCAGAGCTTAACGAGAAAAAAAACTTCAACACTTAAAAATAAATCTGATGTGAACAAACAGAAAACAGGAAGGAACCTTCGTGTTTGTGTGAGACAAATCACAGCTGCAGCTCTGCAGAAACTCATGTCAGCTTTGGATTTTCACCAGAACTCAAGCAGCTTATAGATGTCCTCACTTCTTACTATAAACTTTCATTACAGAAGTGCTAAAAAACAAAACAGAAATACTCAAATAAACAAACTATATATTGTCCACAGGGAAACGTAAAAGCAAAACAAGCAATTCAGCAAAGCAACAAAAGCTGTAAAATGAAAAAGGAAACTTTTCTGTCAGGAAAGAATGAAACAAATTACACCAAAAAACTATTATGAAGGCACAGGTGGCTGCATTCTACTTTTAAATGAGTTTAAAATGATCCTGTGACGGGAAGAAAACTGGGAAAAGTGGGATTAAAGGTCACAGTTTGCTACCTGGAGTCTGTTTTTATATTAGACTTATAATAATTTCATCACTGAGATCTACGATTTCTTCAAAATGAATGTTTTGCTTAATAGCTGCTTCATTTTATTTTCTTATTTTATACTTAGCTTTTACTTCTATGAGGTGCCAAGTGTAAATTGAAATGTTAAAAAATGTCATTAACATATTTTTCATTATTCAGCTCACTTTTTAAGTGTTGAAAATTTTCCACTATTTTATTA